GAGAGTAGGAAAGCCCCACTGAGGGACCTGGACAGGCTGGACTTCTGGGTTGAGGCCAATTGTATGAGATTCAACAAGACCAAGCGCTGAATCCTACTCTGGTCACAACAACCCCATGCATCATTCTAGGCTTGGAGCAGAGCAGTATGGAGAAAAATGATCTGGGCATGTTGGTTGACAGCCGGCTGACCATGAGCCGGCAGTGTGCCCAGATGGCCAAGAAGGCCAGTGGTATTCTGGCTTGTATCAGAAATGGTATTGCCAGCAGGAGCAGGGAGGTGATCAGAAATCCCCCTGTACTCAGGTCTGATGAGACCACACCTCAAGTACTGTGTTCAGTTTTGGGCCACAAACTGCAAGAAAGACATCAAAGCCCTGGCGAGTGTCTGGAGTATGGCAACAAAGCTGTGAAGAGTCTGAAGCACAAGTCTTACGGGGAGTGGCTGAGGGAATTGGGATTGTTCAGAAGAGAAGGCTCAGGGGAGACGTTACTGCTCCCTCCCTGAAATGAGGTTGTGATGCGGTGGGGGTCAGCCCAGGGAACAACAATGGGACGAGAGGGAATGGTCTCAAGCTGAGCCAGTAGAGGTTCAGGTTAGAAATTAGGAAAAATTTCTTCTCAGAAAGGGTAGTGAGGTATTAGAACAGGCTGCCCACAAGGAAGTGGTAGAATCATCCCTAAAGGTTTTCAAGAAGAGACAAGATGGGGCATTGAGGGACATGGTTTAGGGGTCTGGAGGTGATGAGTTGATGGTTGGACTAGATGATTGTAGTGGTCTTTCCAACTTAATTATTTCCAGCTTAATGATATCTATGAATTCAATTGCCTTGTGCTCAGACACTCACCTACAGCACACCACCAGCAGAGCAGAGCACTGAACGTGGACATTTCCTTTCATGATAAATATATGGCACAGCGATAGGAACTGCCACAGCCAATTTTAAATACTAGCTTTGGAAATGAGTTAAACCCAACCTGAGTATGATTCAAAACCAGGATAAATTAGAAATGTTCCATTACTATTATTGTATCATATGCTCTATCCCAACAAAGGGTGCTCTCAAAGACCTGCCCACTTCAGTCTCTGTCAGTACCCTTTTGCTGCAGACAAAAAAAAGCAACACTGCGCACAGTAACATACTGTAACTTCTTATGTGGGGAATCTGCTACATGAGGAACATCTGAGTTTTGGGTCTCGCTTCAAGCATTGAGAACAGCATCAAGAGAAGAGGACAGAGTGTAAGATAGATAGGATCACATCCCTAAGCACTCACTGTATCAGTGTTTTATGTATTATGGAAAGGAAAAAATATTCTGAGCAAAGATCTCTTCAGAAAAGGAAAACAAAACTATCTCTAGCTTAGTTTTATTTCTGGGCAATATTCACAAGAAAATTTTTCCAAAAACACCTGAGCACCCCAATGCTGCAGTGATACCCACGAGTTCTGCCTACATGTAGAGATTCTAGTTTGCAGCCTTCTTGAATTAGTGCTGTGTTTCTGCAAGTTTATCATGCTTCTTCAAGCAGCTTCGGAGTTGATTAATGATGTATGCTCCCAGAACTCTATTAAAATATAGAACACTGCTTTAAACGTTTTAAAGATTTTCAAATACTTTGTAGATAACACAGAAATTTCCACATAAGCATTTACTCTAAAAATAAAGAAGATTCATTAGGTGTGCAAGTTAAAAGAGCTACTTTTACAGTATGTTTTATTTTTTTGTTGGTTCTTGAAATCCAACTTTCAATGACATTCCAAGGGAATTCCTTCTCTAGAGGCAGGCAGGATTGTCCTTTGTTATACAGGTTTGGAAGGAAAATAGAAGCCCCCATTGCAGCTGAAATCAGCCCCTGAAATTGTAAGGCAGACCCTATGACACAGCTCTGATGTCACATAAACACGCACTGCATCCATGCACAGTGCGATCATCCACTCTGTAGCTTCAGCCCTGCAGCACCTACTCACCTACAGCACTCCCTGTAATACATTCCCACCTCTTTCAAGTATATTCAATTCAGTATACAAGCAGGAACGCTTATCTCTACAAGGCTGCACATATAAAGAACTCATTTATTCTGTATATTTTTAAAGTTGCTTCTCTGGCAATTAAAATATGCAAAGCTCTCTTAAAAAATTAGCAAGAATGAAGTCAGGTTTCTGCAGTAATGATTTAAAACTTAACAGTTTACGTAGACTTTGGACAATTCACCTCTTCAATGTACAGTGATTTTCTCATTATTCTACTAGACATCCCATTCCTACACAAAGGTTTAAGAGACCACTGTCTCCCAGTGAGACACAGGAAGCAGTGCAGCACTGACTCCTAAGGAATGTTATCTCCACCAATTGCCCTTATTTCACCAGCTGTCCCAATAATAATAACATTTTGGAGACCCTCTCCAGACAGCAAAGGTATTCCCTTCACTGTTCCAATGCTAACTTGGAAACTGCTTATGACTCAGTTTTAAAAACAAGGGTGGTAAAGAAGGTGGTTAAAAAGTCCTTACAGCAGAAACCTGATGAAGACACTGATGTCCCACAAAGTGGCACATTTATTGAACCATGACAATGTTAGGTCAACATTAATTTTGCAGTTTAAGGTTATTATATACATTTCATGTCCAGTTATCTGTGCAAACAATTGAAATAAAGATTTTCAAGTATTTTGTCTAGTTAGCATCTAGCTAGCATCCCGTTTTGACGCTACCACTGGAAGCAAGGTGAATAAAGATTTACTCTCAAATAATTCACACCCTAAATTTAAATTCCTCTTAGTTGATCCTATCAGTGACATTGTCCAGGATGACAGAATCACAGAACTGCAGGAGTTGGATGGGACCTCAAGAGATCATTGAGTCCAATCCCCTTGCTAAAACAGGTACCCTACAGAAGGTCACAGGTAGGCATCCAGATGGGTCTTGAATATAGAAGGAGACTCCACAACCTCTCTGGGCAACCTATTCCTGTGCTCTGACATGCTTACCATAAAGAAGTTCTTCTGCATGAAACTTTCCATGTTCAAGTTTTAGGCCATTGTTCCTTGTCCTATTTCTACACATCACCAAGAACCCGGCCTCATCCATTTGCCTCCTACCTCCTTGTAGATATTTATAAATATTTATCAGAACCCCTCTCAGCCTTCTCTTCCCCAGGCTGAACAGGCCCACATTACTCAGCCTTTCCTCATGTGGGAGATGCTCTAGGCCCTTTATCATCTTTGTGGCCCACTGCTGGACTCCTAGGAGATCCCTGTCTTTTTTTGAACTGGGGAGCCCAGAACTGGACATAAAATTAATCTTCAGTGGACTGACTGCATGTTGCCGTAAGTCCTTGCTATTCTGCACTGCCAGCTCAACTAAGCTCAGCTCACGAGTCCAAGGCAGGCTGCACTCTCCTGCAGCTTGGAGCAACGAAAGGAGAAAAAGGGAGTGAAGAGACAGGGAAGTGAACAGTGAAGAGAAACAGTGGAGCAAGAGGGCTGGATGCTGGGAGAGGCTGCACAAGTTCTGTGAAATTCTTATTTTTTTTTTTTTTTTTTTTTTTTACCATTAGGTAAGGAACTTTGGAAATTATTATTTTCAATTAGATTTTTTCACTGTATTTTTGAAGATTTTTTCCTTTCCAGAGACTTTCTGTTTATAGCTCTTTTTACACCAAGTAACGATGCGTTCCCCCAGCAGTGCAGTAGTAACAGCACACTTCTCTCTCACCTTTGTTATCTTTTGGAATCTACACAGACACACACCATCCAGCGTCACTCGGTCAGTTCCCACCTGACGCCTCACCTCCTCACGCCTGGATGCACTTCCCAGGCCCATGCCCCGCGCACCTCACTGCATTTACACAGTCGGAGCACTGGAAGTCCCAGCTCGCTGGAAGGAGAGCAGAAGGAAGGGCGGACGGCATGTATTGTATTGACGGGTTTGGCTTTGGGGAAGAGTCATTTTTCTCGTTTAACACTAGGGGAAACCAAGCGGTGGTGAGCGACGAGGAAATTAAAGGTGGTGCAACATCTGATTGGAAATGGTACATCACCGAGAAGAAATGAGGGCGCTTATCGCCGCATCGCCGAACGAAGCCGCCCCGGCACCGCGCCGGGAGCCGTCACTGCGGCAGCGGCGGCACACGGGGAAGGAAACCGCGCTGCTGGGCACCGCTCCCGGCTTTTGTGGGGCTGTCACCTCCGCTTGCCTTCGGGCAGGCATTTCTGCCCGCACGCCACACGGGCTGAGGCAGGGACGGCCTATTTCCACCATTCGTAATACACAGGGCTGCAGGCACGCCAGCTGACCGAGCTCAGAACCACATCGGCTTCCCCAGCGTGACCGCAGCCGCGCTCTGTCAGCACACCCTCCTCGAGCGGCCGCGGTGCCGCCCCTCCGAGACAGGGGCGGGCGGGGCGGCGGCCATCTTAGCTGCGGGCATCCCCAGGGGCGCCATGTCTGGTGAGGGAACCGCCGGCCGTGCGGTCCGGTTCCGCGCTGCACTCAGCTGCCGTGGAGTCGGGAGGCCACAGCGGGGTCCGGCTCCGCTCTCCGTAGGGCTGGTGAGGCTGGCTTAGTGCCGGCAGGGACTCGGAACGCGGAGGGCGGACCCTGAGGGCTCGGTTCTGCCGCTGCGGACAGGCTGTGCTAGGTTCCTCCTTCCAGGGCAGCGAGAACGTGACCGTGGGGGAAAGAAAAGGGCAGCTGTCCGTTGAAATAAAAGCTCGGGCGGCCTCCAGGAGAACGGCCTCGCGTACGGCAGCCCGGTGAAAATCGAGACGTTTCTGCCCCGGGCAGCGCAGGCTGGGCCTGCAGCGTTGGTGCAGTGCCTGCTGCCTTCACGGGGCTTCATCTTCTGGCATCAGTGGGTGACGAGGTTCCTCCTCATCCTCAGATGTGTGGCAGCGCTGGTTTGCTCACAGGAGGCAGTGAACAGTGAAGGCGGTTAACTGCCAGGTTTTGATGCCTTGTTTTTCTGAACAAAGTACAACGATTTTAAGAGGTTGGAGGTTTGAAATCCACACAGCGTGGTTAAGTTGCTAATGCGGGGCTGGGCTTTATCTGTGCTTCTACGGGTGTACTCAAGTAGTGAGGTTACTCATCTAACGAGCAGTTTGCAGGACTGAGACTCGAGTGCTCGTTTCTACGTAACCAGTAAGGTAATACCAAAGGCAGGCAGGGTCTGTGGTGGTATGGCACAGTTCTGCTGAGCGGGCCCTGCAGAGGTCAGCACACCCGACGCCCTGCTGTCAGCTGGCTGCAGGCTGCTCAGGTTCCTCCGTGCCTGCCACAGGGGGAACTTGCTGTTGGAGCTCCTTAGAGGGAGTGTTTGGCTTCTTGAAAGGTGAACTCATGGGAGTCAAACAGCCTATCTGCTCATTCATCTGCAGGGCTGTCTCCATTGGAAGGGAACAAATACTAAACACAGTTCTTTCCAAAACAGGCTAATTAAGAACAACCTGTTGGCACAGCTGGAGGAATTTGACAGGATGAGGCCTGTCATTGTGGTACACGGTGGAGCTGGCCGGATCTTCAAAGAACGAGAAGAGGGATGCCGTGCTGGTGTCATCAGAGCAGCGCTGCAGGGTTATGGTGTCCTGAAACAAGGAGGCAGCGCCTTAGATGCAGTTGAGGAGGCGGTACGGTCAATGGAAGATGACCCTCATTTTAATGCAGGTAATTTTTAAAGAATTCAGTATCTGTATAATCATTACGTATGTTCAGTCCTTGATTCTAATTACTGTGAAAATACTGGCTCGCATTTGCCTTGAATTATGCATATTGTAGTGAAGTAACTATTAGTGTCACAAAATATGAATTATTTGTTTATTGATGTAATTAAAAAAGCATGTTATGTACCATTGTTTCTTCTGAGCACACTTAGGCAGTCAGGTTAGTCTTTGTTATTTCTCAGCATTCTGTACCTACTGATTCATTCTTGTTCTCCAGTCCTACTGTTATGTGAATCTCCCCTGCCCCCATGCTGAGTTTTTAGTTTTAAGACATGGACTCCTTAATGGAGTGTATGTTCAGTTAATATTCATATTAAAAGTCACTTGTACAGAGCTTGTGGCAATATTTAAGCCTTAATTCTTTACCTCTTGTTAAAGGAAGATTTTGGGATATTGTGTATGTTTTAGTTAATGCTTGCAATTAGTGCCTTCTTAAATAATATTATAAAAATAATGCAACTAATGATATGAGTCATTTAAGGTTTAGAACTGAATTTCCTAGCAATTAATGTCAATTAATGTTAATGATAGTTAACATCTAATATTTTTCTCCTATTCGTATAACTTCAAGTTTACTATTTGGATGCATTTCAGTGAAAATTCTTCACTGTTTCCAGCAAGGTATGTCAGGAATGAACATGGATAAGAAGACTGTCAGAGTTCAGTGTCTCAGATAGCATACTTGATTCTTGTGTGGATGCTTAATATGCACAGATTCACTTTTTCTTTCTCACCTTGCAATTGAGAAAGATGGAAAGATTTTTTTTCCGTATGAAAGTTTTGACTGATTCATTGTGGACTTGGATTGAATTTCCTGCTTTTTAGAGGTTTAAATGAGATATGTGTACCATGAGGCAGTTGCATAATTAATATGAAGCTGGTGTTCCCTCATTAACTTTTTCTTCACTTGCTGTCTAAATCAGTCAACCTTTAGGGCTGTGTTTTGCTCAGGTCAGTAAATCTGTAACTGTTTGACCTTTGGTGCTTTCTATAATTCTGGATTCTATCTCTAAACAAACCTCTGACCAAATAGCTTACATTTGCTATTTCAAAGTCATCAGCTTCCTATATTGCAGGAAAAAAATCTTAATTCTCAAGGAACATCATTTTCTAGCCAATGGTAGTTGTCCAGTGTCAATGTGGAAGCAACTTCAGTATAAATTTAAGCCAAAAGATTGTTTACATCTCTTAATCATTCCATGTAAACAATTTCATACTTTCTTGGTTTCTTATATGCTAATTTTGATGGTTCTGTAAATCAAAATTATGTAAACGGAAAATGTATTTTAATTGAATGGGATTCTCTGGCGAAAGCTTGCTTTATAGCAGTCTATTTAGGCTTATTTATTTAAATGATAAGCAGCAGTGTGTGTCATTTCGGCACGTATTTTGGTAAGTGAGATCACAGTGGCAGTATTAATGCAAGCTTTTTTCACCCTTAGTTTGCAATCTTATCGCTAATGCTGCTATTCTGAGCTTGGGAAGTGGATAACATGAAGTGAACTGATACGGGACAGAATACGTATTTGTATCAGAGGAGGTTTAGGTTGGACATAAGGAAGAACTTCGTCTCTCAGAGAGGGGTCAGGCACTGGAATGGCTGCCCAGGGAGGTGGTGGAGTCGCCGTCCCTGGCAGTGTTCAAGAGGCGTCTGGATGGCGTGCTGTGTGATGTGGTTTAGTGCTTGTGGTGGCAATGGTGATGAGGAGACGGTTGGACTGGATGATCTTATAGGTCATTTCCAACCTTGTGATTCTATGATTCTATGTTTCTCTTATCTCAGTGCATCCACATAGCTCTTCATATGGAGAAGTTTCCACAGACTTGTGCCTTACACGCATTTCTTGTTTGCAGAGTTGCAGAAAGGAGGTTTGGGCTGTAGTTGAAAGTTACCGTCTTTCCCCAGGGAGAGAATTGCAGCCTCCCTCTCATCATACAGCCACTTAAAGGAGCACGTGCTGCTCCACGTTCAAAGTGATTGCACCATTTGAGGACAGGCTCTTAGACCCTACCGTAGCCAATGCCTGCTAGACAGTTGTAACTTTTCATTTTCTTCACGAATGTGCAGAACATGTTTGTGGCAGACCTTCTCATGGTCTGACAGCGTTTACTTATTGAAATATATATTAAACTAATGTTTTGTCTAAAGATGTTTACTTATACTTGTTCTAACAATATTTATCTGTTGTTTATAGTAGATTAAATTAAGAATTTTTAGCAAAATTTGCTTGAACTGAGCTTGAGCCTTGAGCTCTTGTTCATGTCTGACTATGCTGATCTAAGTCCTTAACCACTTACATATACATCCAGCTGTGTTAGTGCTCGTTAGATACAGCTGCTCTCAGAGTGAGCTGACAGCTATGTGAAGAGGGCCCTGATTGGAGTGGCTTTTTAAAACTCGTGGTATTTATCTCTGTAAAATAAACGTTTGTTTTGTTGTAATATTTTCCTAGAAAACACAGACATTGCTAAACAGTAACAATAAATATGGAGAGGAATAAGCTTAATAATCAAGTTGTGTCCTCTGGTTTTCTGCAGAGGAACAGTTAGGAAATCTTTAGAGATCTCCAGCGGACATAGGAGATTTCTAATGGGGTGATGCAGGAGGCTGGTAGAGCATCCCCTGGGGCCGTCGTTCTTCTGATTACTGCTGTTTGAGAAAGGTACACCTTGTTCTAGAGGGAATTTTGTGAGCGTGGGTGTGAGAAGAGCCTACCTTGACAAAGGAAACTAGAAGAACATGGCAAGGCTTATCTAAGAAATGAAAGAGGGCCTATTCCGTACATCAAAATAAGGGAAATTCTGGAAGAATGATTTTAGCACAGATGTCTGAAAGGAGGAATGTGTAAGCTCTCCACACATCAGTGTGGCATAGAAATAACCTATTCTGAATGATGTGGCACTGAGCTCAGAAATAGCTTATATGGTTGGAGGGGAGCAAAAAGTAACTGTTTGGGGTGGAGTGTAGGCAGGTGTGTCTGTTAGGTGGAGTTTTGAAGACCCAGAATGTTGTTGCCACCTGTAAGTGAGGTTTTAACATTATACACATATATTCAGGGCAGAAGTGCATAGGTGTAGTTGCCTTATGTCGGCAGTTACCAACAGTAGTTTCTGACCTGCCCTAGTGTCAGTTTAACAGGAAAAGCAAACAACAAAACCTGTTTTAGTTCTGTACAACGTTTGAGTATTTCTACCTGAGCTACTCTATAGTTCTACCATGAATTTTTAAATTTCTTTCTAAATTGAGTCTTACCCAGCCTAGTTAGCTTGCACACATGTTGACTTAAAAACTTAGCGTTCCCCTGGGAAGGGTTACTTACGTTATTTAAAAAAAAAAAAACAACAAACAACCAAACAACAAAACACAACAACACCTATTTGCATTGTCTCATCCTGTATCATCAGTTTTCAATTAGGTTAATGTCAGCGTTGATGATTGCTGAAGAGAATAACTACCCAGCATTTCATTTCTATCTTTATTCTAAATTCCTCCATCTACTGTTATTTGATAAACTGTTATTTGAAGACTGGGTTATTTCAAGGTTTTGGTGCAGTAGTGAATGAGCACTTCTGTTGTGCTGTGTCAATTTTGACAGCTTCTTGGAATGCTCTTTGGCATTATTTTTTTGATGGGACTGAACACTACACGATATTGTTGGGTGTCCTACAGTTGGAAGAACTGTAAAAGTGAAATAGATATTTTTACGTGCGTGTGATGTGATCTGGGGGATAAAGAATCTTGTTTATGATTGCCATTTTAGCTTTCATAGCTGGTATATAATTTTGGATGGAATTGCATAAATGGCATTCTGTATACCATCTTATGACCAATTCACGATTGTATGAGTTTCAAGTGCGTTTTTCATCATATAAAAATAAAACTCAATTTTTTTTTTAAGTAGCCATTACACCCTGTCAGATTTCTGTCTACAGTTGGATTTTGCAGTTATACTCAGCAATGTTTCTGCTGTTTTGTTTTTATTCAGGAGGTAGGTCCTTCCAGTAAGTCAGACATATAATTGGAAAACAGAAAGTTTGCTTGATGAGATCCATAAATTGAATCAGCTGCTGGTTAGCTCTTAATGACTTAACTCTTCTTCTCTTACTCCTCCTCTTTTTAATTTAATTTTTTTTGTTGTTGTTCTTTGGTCTAGGCTGTGGTTCTGTTCTTAATGAAGAAGGTGAAGTAGAAATGGATGCAATTATCATGGATGGAAAAAATCTGGCCTCTGGAGCAGTATCTGCAGTTAAATGTATAGCAAACCCAATAAAACTAGCTCGACTTGTCATGGAAAAGGTATGCTGAATCTGTACTTGAATATGAAACATTTTTTCCTTAATATTTCATCTGGTGTGTTGAAACACCTCGTTGATGTTGTTTGTGAATCCTCCCCTAAACTATGAAAGAATGAGAAATAGAAAGTAGCGCTTAGAATCTGTGATTGTGACTATGAGGAACTTTTATTTTTAACATTTTTGGATTGTTTGGGTTTTTTTTTGAATGCTGTTATTGAAAGATAGCACTCTGAGGAAATGAGTTCTGTTACGTAGTTGGAAGGCTGGGGTAGAATGTCTTTTAGTAACTTGAGGGGGAAAAGTTGTATCCATTTTCTGTAGATCACTTCTTATAATGACAGTTAAAAGCCACTGATGGTGTCTCCTCTATGACAAAACCTCATTTAGGATAAAGTTACAACAATATTTTTTGGACAACAAAACAAATGCATCCCAGCCACCTCCAACAGAAAACAAAACCAAAAATCTGCCCTCCGTCTCTTGTGTGCTATAAGGGTCTCTTGTCATCGAGTGGTGCTTCAGCTCTTCAAAAACGTTGAAGCTAAATTTAGTAGTACATAAGAAATTCAACTGCATAAGGCCATGTATAATGGTTTGGTGCTAATACCACAAAATGAGAAGTACTTCCATTTTGTGGTGCAGTGTATTTCTGTTTGCCCAGCTGCAATAAATTCTGTGTAGATGACAACATTCAAATATAGATGTTAACCTAAATTGCTTGATATATCTTGAGGTGAGCTTCTGCTATTTTTTCTGGCAGACGTTACAAACTGGAATACAAACCAGCTCATGTTACTCTTCTGTTCATCTTAGGAAGGAGTTTGGGGACACTAACCCAGGCTATTTCACGGTGCTTTTCAGAGTCTATTTTATTTGTTGTATTTTACTGTAAATAATTAAAAATATGTTGAACTCAGTGATCCCTGGGTGATAAGTCTGGTGTTTCCTTGGTCCTAAGGATTTTAGGATGCTTGTTTCCCAATGATGTTAAGAGACATTACTGCCCCAAGGAGAACATGAAGTTCTCCAAAACAAGTAACAAATGGAAGAGTTCCCCACCTGCTTGTAACTTTGTGTTTCTATTCCTATTCTGAAACAATATGGGCTCCATCTGGTGGTCAGAGTAGCTCCTTAGGCTGCTGTTGTGCATGTTTATCTTGTACATTATCGCGTTCTTAGTGGGCTCTAGTTTGCTCAAATTCATGGTACAGGAGAAGGGAAAGCACCAGAATAATTTGTGTCTTACTGTACTACTGAGCACATCAGTCTCTAGAGATGGAAGGCTTAGTACGTTAACAAATTAATCAAATGGATACTTGAGAAAGCAGTTAAATTCCCATAAAATTATTCCTGTTTGTGGTGAACAGCAGTGGAATGATGCATTGAAATGATTTGTTTTTCTTAATGGGGCGTGTAATCCCCCTCAGCTCCTGTGCTCCATGAGATGGATGTCATGTGAACGTTGCAGCGCTGATTCACTGGTACCCATAAACTGTTGGTGCATACTTTCCCTTATATCGTCCTCATCCAGCTCTTGAAATGAGAGGAAAATTTAACCTACCCCATAGACTTCTCAAGGCAAAAGGTGGAAGCTTCTGCTGTGCTTTTTGCACTGCTGGGCTTCTTAAATAAAGAGCTGGTCTGAGTTCCAGGCCAGCAACTGAAAGTTGGGGATTTTCTTTCCGCTTCTGATAAGATGAACTAAACAGAAATTTTCCAACGTTTGTTGTTTGCTATTAAGAACTCTAAAAACTATTATTTCTTTTATTTTTTTCTTTTTGGATTACTCTGTTTTAAGTGTGTCCCAGAAAAATGAGGCACCTAAGAAAGTTAACAAATACATTTGTGAAACTAGAAGGAGAATGAGACAGGAAAATCTGTTCTTTTGGTTGCTTGGCAGTGCTCTATGAGCTCTTTTGATGGACAGAATATATTAAATTCTCCCTAGGACACTTTATTTTCAGCAAGGACTGCAAAAAGCTATATAGGAGCTTATTCCTCTGTGTACAAATATCTGTTGCTTGTGTGCAGCTCATGAAGGTGGTATGTTATCAAAGTCTGCACATGGGATGCTCCTTTAAGAAATTTTTTAAGAAATTGCTTTATTTTTTATGTAATAAAACCTTGTTTTCTAAAACAAACAAAAAATACTAGAAAAGCAATGGAATTGCATTCTTGAAGAAAGCAAGTGATGGAGGAGGCTATCTTCTTAAGAAAGTAAAGTCAAAAGAAAAGTTGAATGGAATTTTCTCTAAACATAATTGGAATTATTGAATCATGTGCTTTGGTGGTTTAGTTCCAGAGGCAGAGGGGGGGCAGCGTTGCGCAGAGAAGTTCCCTTCTAAGTTGAGAACACTTCAGCTTTGTTACAAACAGGTAGGGTCTTCCATTGTCAGGTAACAGCACTTGCCTAAGGCTGTTCTCCACTCTTTCAAATGTGGAGCACACTTCCTTGTGACTGTTCCTCTTGTTCTTTTGAGTGGTACTGTCATCAACTGAAGTAATTTCTTAAATATGAGAGAGATTTGATATTAGGGCCACCACCTGGTGAATGGCCAGTCAGGAACGTTTTTAATGTGACATGGCACTTCCTGCTTGTGTAAGCATTTGGAAGGATTAGTGCAGAGATACAGCAGGCTGAAGCAGACTTGAGTATCTGTGGTTTGGGAAGAATTTGGGCTCAAATTCTTCACGCTATTCAGTGCTTTGGCTTCCTCGTGGTAATGATTGCTTATCGTTGCTTTACAAATCAGAAAAAGTTGATGTTCTGCAGCATCTTAAAGTCTGAAGCTTTGAGACTGTTTTGACTATAGAGTGTGTCAGTGCAGTGTGTCACAGAAATAAATACCAGATTTGGGAATCCTCACTGCAGGCTGAGAAGCAGAGCCACCGGGTGCCCTGCAGGGCTCTGCAGGCCTGCTGTCTGCAGCATCTCCTGGATTTGCTTTTGGACCTTAGCCTGGTCCCCATGTTGCTGCATGGACGTACAAGCTTGCCTAAAGGTAGCAGTGTTCTGTTGTGAGTCCTGTATTGTTAGGCCATTGCTCCTGCCTTTCTAGGCTCTGCTGAGCAATGAACACCATGATCCAAAAAGTTGATGCATTATTTTGGACGCAGGTTCAAAAAAAACCCAAACAAATTAGATGCTGGAGATCCTGCTAAAGCATAAGGATTAATGGAACAAACTTAACTGGTAAGTTTATAAAAAATAGGAAGTAAGCAAGCCATGCAGACTTGGAAGTGTGGATTTGACCAAGGTTGTTGACTTAAAATCTGGTTTAAGTGCTTTGCTAAATAGAGGAATAAATATAGAGATTCTGCACATGCAAATGTTGTTTGAAGAGAGCAAACAATTTTTACCAAATCTATTAGAATGATATTCAGTTCCTAAATAGGAAATTCTGGGTCTGTGAGAATGGCAGGTTGTTGAAAGAAGTATTAAAAGCTAAGTGGTTTAGCTTTTGTTAAGAACCACTTGACTGTATTGCATTAAAAATTTTCTGGATGTAGGCACAGAAAACCAGGACGTTTAAAAATGAAACAAAATTTGGAATGTTCTTTGCATCCATCCTTCTAAAAAATAGTGACTATAGGGAGCAGTTTGTATAAGGAAAAACAGGAGGTGTCAGTAATTTTTTGCCTGTCTTCTGCAGACAAAGCACATGCTGCTAACTGACCATGGCGCCCGCCTCTTTGCTCAGGCCATGGGTGTTCCTGAGATTCCAGGGGAGAAACTCATAACTGAGAGGTCTCGGGAGAGATGGAAGAAGAACCTTGAGCCAGATTCCAACCCTGTGGAGTTCCAGAAGTAGGTTTTTGTAACTTTTTTTTTTTTTTTTTTAAATTCAGGTAGTTTACTTGGTGCAATCAGTTCACACACCTCCTGCCACTCTCCTTCCAAAAAGACCCCCCCCCAAAAAACTAAAAGAAGAAAAATCCCAAAGCTCGAAGGCCTGTTGTCAGCCTTGATAATATTTCAGTTCTGAGTGAACTGTGGTTTGCCATAATCTTCCCAATATGTCCTCAAAACACTAACAAACAAAAAACACCCTCAAAATCCAGCTTCTAGTGAATTTGCTGAAGTTTAAGCGAGTATGTAAGTTTTCCAAAGAAGAACCGTGAGTTAGGAACTCTCCAGTCCACTGTTTAAAATTACAAAGTCCATGTGAAAAGTAAAATTATAAAGCTGGTCTTAAGCAGGTGATCCGACTTGTTTTTAAACTGGTCTAGGTAGTTAAACTGTGTCATATTTTGATCAAGTGTGCCGAGTGCTGATTGTGACTATTGGTTACTGTAGATAGAAGGAGAAAATGACCAGGAGGTTCAATGTAGTGGTGGGTGTGAGAAGAGATGCTATCGGATGATATTACACGGCAGCAAAATGAAAGTCACCTGAAAAATAAGCAGGCTTCACATAACAAACCAGAGAGGAAGACAAGGTGGATGAGAAAGGAATGAAAATCGTGAGGTGTCAAATATCTTTTATGCCCATGAGGTAGGCATGAATACTGAATTGTTTTGAGTTTGCATTTGTATGGCAACAGTTGCTGCATAGGAAAATACTGTATTACATACTGCTGCTAGTCTGCTGTGTGAAGTAGTAGTACTAAGTGAAGCAGAGCTGAAGAATTTGTAGATCAGAGAAAAGAAAGAAGCTTCTTCTGTGGGCATGTTAACTAAAATCAATGAAGTTAGGCCATAATGTATATAAGCTATATGTTACTTACATTAAATTGCTGGAAGGAAAAACAAAGTCTTGATACAAGTGTAAATACAGTCTTGTAAACGAAGTGAGGTATCCGTCGTCGTTCATCTTGTCTCCCCTGGAAGTTTCAGGTTTTTTTAATCTGTGTGGTATGCAGGGACTGTGTGGTGTTACAGCTCATTGCCAAGAATTCTGAGAATGGTGTAGCTGCCAGTGTCCCCTGGCCTCCTGAAGAAGAGAGCTGGAAGCATGGCATCTGAGTCTCTGATCATTCTTTATAATTACTTTGCCCCTTTTTTATCTTACAGTTAACAGTGTTAGGCATCTTTAATTTCAGCTTTCTCTTATTCTGGAGTACCCAATATTTGAAGATTTGTGTATTTCTGACAAGTTTGAAACTTCTTGTCTTGGCCACACTGTGCTTTTCCTGACAAGCACTGCCCACTAACATAGGCAGAAGTTCACAAAGCTGAAGAGAGGTCTCTTTATGCCAACCTGTTTGTTCCTGTGCTGTGTGTGGAATGTTCTTTTTCCTCATTATGTCTATAGTGATTATGCAGAAACTTGCCTGAAGCAAATGGGCAGAGGTGAAGTACTACTGGTCGGAGGCAACCTAACACCAGCTAATACTGGGAATGTGAAGGTTGGCTTGTACTTAACCTTTAGTCAGGTTCTCAGAGTTTATTGGCTCTTTTAGAAGCCTTAGACGTTCAGAGCTTTCCAAGCAAGGAGCTTGGAAGAAGAGAGAGCTTTCTCTTTTGCTGTTTAGAAGCCTGCATTCATTTACATTCAGAAATTACGATTCTGTTGCATGTACATTCAGCTATCTTGTGCCCCTTCTACTAACAATAAAATGTGGAGGGTTTTTTTTTTCTTTTTATCTTCTGTCTCTCAGTCCAGAGATTCTGACCACATGCTTTCTAGAGTTGCTGAAGATTCCCTGAGAATTCCAGCACTGCTCACACTGCAGCCTGACCTGGGCCTGGGATACGGCGAGGGCACTGTGTACTGCTGACATATAATATGGCACTATGCTTGATTTGCTAGGAAATTGTCTCAGTTCTCAAATACTGCAATTTGAAAAGACACTGTACGCAGAAACGTGCTGCCAAATTCATTGCATACCGAGGAATCTTAGAACACCCTGCTATAAGCAGGGACACCTCCCTCTAGACCGGGTTGCTCAAAGCCCCATACAGCCTCGCAATGAATGCTTCCAGGGAGGGGGCATCCACAGCCTCTCTGGGCAACCTGTTCCAGTGTCTCACCACCCACATAGTAAAGATTCTTCCTATTATCTAGTATAAATCTGCCCTCTTCCAGTTTAAGGCCATTTCCCATTGTCCTGTCACTACATGCCCTTATAGAATTTTCCTCCCCAGCTTTCCTGTAGCAGCCTTCCAGTGCCTGAAAGGGCCCTATAAGGTCCCCCTGAAGCCTTCTCCTCTCCAGGCTGTAGAGCTCCACCTCTCTCAGCCTGTCCCCATCAGGGAGATGACCCAGCCCCCAAGCATTGAATGCTTCATAAGGACAAAACAGTGGAACTGAAGAAAGTCTGTCACCTCAACAAAATATATTTTTTAAAAAGTTAAAACTCAGATGGACTCTGTTACAAAAGCTAGTTAAGTGATAGCAAATTTCATAATAAAAAAAAAATAAAAACTTTCCTGATGGTGACTTTAAGTGGTGAATGGAAAGCATGACAGATATAACGTGTTCTGATTTAAAAAATAAATAAATAAATCTAAAATCAGTTTGTGTGACTGGGCTATATAGCCAGGTGAAATGAAGGAACAGGAATGTATATCAAAAAGAAATTTGGAGAGTAATGCTGTTAATTTCAAATTTCATACTTTGGCAATAGGTGAAAGTACTGATGCTACAGCTATGGCTCTACTTGCCATTTTCATTAGAGGCGATGATAACTGATGTAAAGTCACTGACAAAAATGGCTTCTTTGGTGCCATTGAAAGACACAACTAAATCTCTTTATTTGTGTGAAGCAGTAAAAAAGAAAAAAACATTGAAGGGATTTTATTTAACCTTTATCAACATATTTGATGTAGCTACAGATGGTGCCCTGATGATGATTGGTTAAAAAAGAAAAAAGAAGAGGGGCTGAGAAAATTCTATAGGAGATGATGCCATTACCACTGATAAATCAGATTTGATGTAATTTGACTGTGTTGGGCAGCAAGAAAATGCTTGTGGGTAAGCTTTAAAAATAGTGTCATGTAAACAGTCATCAAAGCTGTGAATTTCCTAAAGTCCAAGGAATTGAATCATCACCAATGCTAGGAGTTCCTCAGAAGTGTGTACACTGATCGTGGGGTCATCATTTACTTTTCTGAAGGAAGGTGGCTACGTTGGGGTAAAATGCTAAAAATGACTTCATGATTTGCAAAGTGGGATCGAGTCCTTTACAGAATTGAAAGGAAAACTTGTGCTGGAACCAGAACACTAAAATTAGTATTTAGCATTTCTGATTCCTGCATTTTGAAACATCAGCTATATGCAGTCCTGTGAACATTGAAAGATACGCAGCTTTGCCTTCCATTTTGATTTTAAGAATAGATTTCAAGATTTCAAAAAAAAAGTCAATTTTTTTAAATGTATTTGCAACTCTGTTTTCAGTTGAAGTAAATACATTACTTGCAAATTTTCACATGGATTGTATGGAGTTGTAACCAGACATTCAGCTCGAAGAAAAATTTGGTCACATCTCTTTGTCAGGAAGATCTCTTATCATAGAAAAATATCCCTTGTTTCACAGCCATGCCTTATACATACTGCCAAAAAACAATGACGTGAATACTTGTGAATGGTTATTACCAAGGATGGAGCATGGGAAGAGTAATATTTCATTAAGAATCTGACAAACACCTCTAGAATTCAGTAGAGCGGCAGCTACTGCCATCAAACCAGACTGATGCATCAGTTTCCCAAAAACAAGGTCAGACATCCCACTAGTTTTTTGTTGCTCTTTTTTATTATGTTAAAAAAAAAAAAACCTCCATAAAAAAATGAGCTTTGTGATTAAAATCATTAAATTTGTTGTATATTTTATATGTGGCCCAAGGCAATTCCTTTTTGCTCAATGCAGCCTAGACAAGCCAAAAGGTTGGACAGCCCTGCTCTAGAGTGTAGCACAGGTACTTGTGGAGTTATTCCTACAGACATTAACATTAGACCTATGACTATAATACAGTGTTTCTACTTAGACAGTTTTGTCTGCCTTGTTAGTGTTTCTGAGTCAGTGGACTATGCAACGAGTTGTTGCATATCTGCCTTCTGAAGATGAACAAAGAAAACATGACACTGAAGTACTCAGAAGTTTAAAAGAATAGTAATTAGAGTCTAGTTTTGTGTTTGCTCCACAACAGCTAATATGTTTTGGGCACACTCACTTTATCATTTATTGGTGCTCCTGTATCAAAGTAGATATCTGCTGCATGTGTAATCTTTGTACTTGCAGTATTCTCATGGCAGCCCAGAAAGCCAACTGTACGCCGAGCTCCACCAGAAGAAACATGGGCAGCAGGTTGAGGGAAGTGATCCTGCCCCTCTATTCTGTGCTGGTGAGGCCTCACTTGGAGTACTGCATCCAGGCATGGGCTCCTCAGAACAGACATGGACCTCCTGCCATACTTCCAGAGGAGGGCCACAGAACTGATCCAAGGGATGGAATACCTTTACAGGGACAGGCTGAGAGAGCTGGGGCTGTTCAGTCTGCAGAAGGGAAGGCTCCAAGGAGACCTGATAGCAGCCTTTCAGTATCTAAACGGGGGCTGTTGCTAAGAAGGGGGCAGGCTCTTTAGCAGGATCTGTTGTGATAGGACATGGGGAAATGGTTTCAAACTAAAAGTGGGGAGAATTAGATTGGATATAAGGAAGTTTTTTATTGGAACAGGTTGCCCAGAGAGGTGGTAGATGCCCCATCCCTGACATTCAAGGTTGGGCTGGATGGGGTTCTGAGCAATGTGATGTAGCTGTACGTGTCCCTGTTCTTTGCAGGGGACTTGGAATATTATATATATAAATATATATATATTTATATATAAATATATTTATATATATATATATATAAAATAAACCCTATTTAAGAGTCTATTCCAACTCAGACAGTTCTGTGATTCTAAATACATACCTTGGAAAATGTAGATCTGAACATGCGTTTCTTAATTTCTCAGGAGGATCTAACTTTAGTTAGTTGAAAGGCACTGTATGTCTAAGCAAGGGAGTACTGAATCTCCTAATATTCTCTTTAGCAAACTATTTGTAACAGATGGATGGGTGGGAAGCCCATCTGCACCAGCATACCAGTTTGAGATTAGGTTCGTCTCCACATAAATGTCAGAGCAGTCTGTAAGTCCTCTGAGTCATCAGTCAACTTTGAATTGCTGTGAATGTAGTGTAGGGGCTGACAGTAAGATATTTTACATAAACAGGAAGGAACTGGGAGTTGGTTCTGTGAGAAATTGACTGGATATCATAGAATCATGATAGCAAGTTGAGAAAGACTTCTAAGATCATCTAATCTAACTGTCCGCCTGCCACTAATATTACCCGCTAAACCATGTTCCTAAGTACCACATCTGCACATTTCTTGATCAACTCAAGGGACAGTGACTACACCACTTGCCTGGGCAGCCTGTTCCAGTGCCCAACCGTTCTTTTTGGAGAAGAAGTTTATCCTAATACTTGACCTGAACCTGACATGGCATAACTTGAGGCCATTCACTCTTGTCCTGTCAATAGTTACCTGGGAGAACAGGCTGACCTCCACCTTGCCACAACCTCCTGTCAGGTAGTTGTAGAGAACTATAAGGTCTGCCCACAGCTTTCTCTAGACTGAACAATTCCAGCTGCCCCAGCCGCTCCCCATAAAACTTGTGCTCCAGGCTCTTCACAGCTTTGTTGCCCTTCTCTGGACACTCTTCAGGGCCTTGATGTCTTTCTTGTAGTGAGAGGGCAAAAACTGAACACAGTTCTCAAGCTGTAATCTCACCAGAGCTGAGTACAGAGGGACGATCACCTCCCTGCTCCTGCTGACTGCACTACTTATGATAGGATGCCATTGGCCTTCTTGGCTACATGGGCACACTGCTGGCTTGTGCTCAGCCGTACATCAGCCAGCACCCTCACATCCTTTTCCTCTGCACAGCATTCTGGCCGGTCTGCCCCAGGCCTGTAGAAGTGCATGGGGTTGTTGTGACCAAAATGAACTTAGCTTTGATTTTGGGTGTTATGTAGAGACCCTCACCAGTGCTCAGACAACATCCAAAAATAGTTGTGCAGTTCACTGAAGGATTGGCACAAATTATTTTCCTTTGTGGAAGGACTGAGACTTTCTGGATATAGCTTTCCCAACCAAATGTGGTTTTATGTACTAATGTGAATTGCCAAGATTGGACCTCAAACTGTTGCTTCTCAGTATTGTCTTGCTTCTCAGTACAGCAACTGTTATGGTAAGTTGAGTAGCCTTTTTTTCCTACCACTATGAACTTACATGTATATTTTAAGCAGCCTATTAAATACGACTGCTGAAGAAATCAGGCAGTAGTTGAAACTTGCATTTTCTTCAGTGAATGAAGATTTTTTAAATGGTTTGCAGTTTTAACATTCTCCTGACCAAGCAATTAAACCTCAAGATTGCTTAGCTGCAAAGTACAGAGATACAAGTATGTATTAGTGATGCATTATGAACAATACTAATTGAAAGCCACATAAATAACTTTTTTTTTTTTTTTTCTTTTTTTGGCATTCAAGCATTTGGGGGAGTAAGGAAAAGGAAAGAGGAGGAACAGGAAGGAAATGATTCAGTGCATTCTAACAATGCTCTCTTTTTATGTATTTACTTGTTTACGTTCATTGTCATAAATAATTTGAGTTAACTGCTCATTAAGACAGTGGGAGATGATTCTTGTGTCTTTGAGTTGGCGCTAGGGGAAAGCTGAACGTTAGGCGTGCCATAGCCAAAAAACTGCTCCAGGTCTGCTGATAGTAAATAAGTCATGAGGAGAGATCAGACTCTTTAAAAAAAAAGTTAAGAGCTATTGAATTGCACAGAAAACAAAAGTTGTGAGAATTGCTTTTTACTGGTTATTTTTGTAGTGAGAAGCATGATAAAAATGGCTTTCTGATGAGCAGTATTTTTTTTGCAATAATCTTTTTCGATTTTTTTTTTAAAGCAACCTAGAAGATAAATACAGCATGCTTTGGCAGGTATGTTTTAATTCTACCTAATTTTGTGAACTGTTTTTCTTGGCAGAGACCTGGGAACAGTTGGTGCTGTTGCTGTAGACAGTGAAGGAAATGTAGCTTGTGCAACATCCACTGGAGGACTCTCTAATAAATTGGTCGGCCGTGTTGGTGACACAGCATGCATAGGTATGGGCTGTGGGGACTTGCCTCTTGTTTTTTTGGAGGTATCTCATTAAAAAATTTAGTGTTTGTCACACATTCTCCTTTCTATTAGTGGAATGAAAGAAAAAGTGATACATCTGAAACTAAGGTCTGGCATTCAAATGTACGAAAACTGAAGCTCCTCAATACAAACCTCAGTTTGCAAATAGGGATTAGAAGTAGAGATATGGTGCTGTCATCATCATCCCACTTTTCTGTTTGGAAAGTGGGAATGGGAATTTGAATTTTTGTCCTTTTCTGAATGCTAATTTATTTTTCTGTGTGTCTTCTGTTCGTTCATTCTAATAAAACTATCAATATGAACATCTATGCTCATAGCCAAGCAAAAAGCATAGTCAATTCTGTGCTGTTTTCTTCATACTTAATGTATGTGTAATTGTAATGACTGTTTGTCAGATCAGTGAGCCAGAATTGCCAAACGATTTGCAACTTGGAGTAAATTCCTGTTCTTGGAGAGCCCAGATAAGACTGCCTCAGAGCCTAATGGATGTGGTGTAGAATCAAGGAAATATTTTAAGATTTCTCTTATCAGAATATAAAGAGACACTTGAAATCCCTTCCCCAGACTTGTTTCTCTTGTGGGACAAACTTGCCATTTGATTACTTCAGGATTATATTACTGAGTTGGGATTTGGAAAGTAATTATTTTTAGTAAAGCATGTTCCAAACTCAGATAGCACTGCTGTTGGCAGCACGTGATTGTTTTACAGAACTAACTTTTTCGCACACCCTGAGTTAATAATGTTCTGATACCCCTTGGTTTGAGTATGATTTTCAGCTTCGTTGCTTACTGCTGCCTTCTGACTGCAAATACCCTTTTCTTAGGTGGGTCATGTTCATGGCATTCATAATATGGAAAACGTTTATGGGGAAGAAGTGAAAATGGCACCATTCAGTGTACTGCTTTCAACTTCTATTCTTACTGGAGGTCTGCAGAACTGGATACTGAAGTAACAGTTGTCCTTTTGAAGATATGAGATTATTGAAAGGGAATTTGACAGGTCAATTGTGGCAGCATTTTTCCACATAAATCATAATATGTTGAAAGAGACCAATCTGATCAGGAAAGTAGGAAATGGAGGAAACTTTCACAGCTCTTCTGCACCTCTTTTGCTCCCCAGCCCAACACAAGCACCTTGCTTATCCATGTAACTCTGTGGTATGCACCTCCCCGCAATTGGGAAATGTTTTTCATAGAAGATGTGTTAGAAATATGGGTGTTGAGCAAGCCAAAGCTTGGTGTAGAACGGTGTGGAATGTGCCAGTCAAACAAGGATGAGGGAAAAAAAAAGGAGTGAGAGTTCAAACAAAAGAAATAGTCTGCTTGTGGTGAGGACTTGAGAGATTCTTCAGGGTGCTTCATGATGATTCACCAGAGCTCGGCTTTTCAAATCTCTGCTCTGATTTTGCTCTTGCAGTCAAATCCCCCACAAATTTTGGTCACTTCATCTTGTCCTCACAAGGCCTTTTGTCATTCCATCTTCTGTAATATTGTGTGACCTGGCATTTTGCATTCTACTGGATCCTCTTGGATCCAGTATTGATCCTCAATATACTATCCCTCACTATTCTGGATTTTTTTTTTCCCTCTTTTCCTGGCTTTTGTGGCACAATCAGCTCACTGGTCTTCTAGTTCTTGTAAATTGGCATGTGACTTCATCTAGCTGTTGCTAATGTCTGTCAGTGTTGAAATTGAGGCAGAAATGTGAAAGATGCGACTTACTGACACTTTGCTCTTGGAAGTGCACAGAACTCCTGGACCCTTAGGAAAAGTGTGTTACTATAAACATTGCAGAGCTTGTAAATTGTATTATGCAAAATACTGCTTTTCTTTTTCTCTCTCTGAAAAGGAAGCGGAGGTTATGCTGATAACTGTTCTGGTGCCACTTCAACCACAGGACATGGAGAGAGCATTATGAAAGTAGTCTTAGCCCGACTGATCCTCTATCACATGGAGCAAGGTATCTTCCAAACTTTTTGTAAGCTGAAATAGGGAGGATGGGGAATGTTGCCTAATGACAGATGGCAGCGTATGTACTGTCACCTCAGAGCAGCTGTCAAAAACGTTGCTACTGTGGTGTATGTGGATTGATCACCTCTTTAGAAAAAACAAAGTACTGAAGTGTTAATAAGGTCAGCATTGCTCTGAGTGGAAAGAAATATTTGGGCTTCTTGATGTTAAAACATTTTTAGATGAATGTATATTAAAATATATGATTGTTTATTTTGTACTCTTTATCTGAAGTTGTTTTTTTTTTTATAAAGCCTATAAAACTATATATACAGTTTTAAAATAATTTTTTTGAACAAAGATAGAAAACAAAAACAACACTTTAAAGGAAACAATAGGAAAGAGTTGGAGGTACAAGAATCAGAGCTGAAATAAGAAAGCTCGGAAAATCACCTGTCTAATAAGCTATGATGATTTTTGTTTTAACAACTCTGATTATAGCAACAGAAATATTTTTAAGACATTTTGAGTATGATTTACAATTTCATTTTGTTTTGGAAAATCTACCGAACTGACTGGGTGGGTATGTGGCAAACAGCTGACACAGTATGTCTGATGTGACTGTAATATCATCCGGCTGCGGGATGACCCTGTGAAGCTTTACCTTCATGATTTAGCCTCTCATTTAAACCCTTCATTATGTTACAGCCAGTAAACATTGCCAGACAACATACTTGCATTGCGTGCAATTGAAGAACCATTAGTATAGATATTATTTTTAGCCATAGCTCTAGGATTGTACAGTGTAGCTCACTTTGAGATCAGATGAACTGGAAATAGTTGGAAAACTTTCCATTTACTTTTTTGTTAGGGAAGCAGTAAGTAGAAAGACGTAACAGCTGAGAATATTTTTGTTATGCTTTTTGCTTTGCTGTTTGCATATAATGGGTGCACTTTTCTGCAAATCTCTTTGGTCGTGCTACAGTTTCAGTGTAAAATATAACCTACAGATTGTTTTCCAAAGCTCTGTCACATCATGGTCTCCTCTTTATATACTATTTATATTATGTCCCTAGCCATTCAGTTTGTGAATGATTTTCAAGCTCGGGTGCAAACGAGTTTTTTCTCTAAATGTAAGTTCACTCCACTGCAAGACCTCTGCACTGATAGGTGTCTGGCTCATGATACACCAGGCAAATGGGGCTCAGATTAAAACAAAAGTACTATAGAATAACCAGTCCACATGTATGCATGCTTAAAACGAATACTTATTTGCACTTATTTACCCTGTTCTACCTTCATTCATCCTGCCCAGAAATGCAACTCAGATGCCAGGTAAATTCATCAACAGTAGCTTTCCTTTTGTTTTTCCCCCACGTTTCCACGAAGATGCTGAAAAGAATCCACCAAGTTCTTATAACTTTTTGAGTCTTTGAATGCCCTATTGAAGTTTCATGTTTAAAAACAATAAAGCTGTTCTGTAATTCTGTTTTGCTATTCAGTAATTTACACAGCAAATACCTTCTTTTGCAGCCAGTGTTAGAAATTTTAGTTTGCTATTTTATGACGGAATGGCTTTGCCAGTCTCAATGACTGTTGGAATCTCTGCCTTATGGCAGCAGCTGTTGTCTTGATGAAAAATCAAACAGTGAAATGCTGACCCTTTGAAGTCAGTGCCGCTGACTTGAATAGTCACAGTGTCGCCCATAATGACATGGAATGGTGCTCTATCCTGTCAGTCACCAGTGCTGTGAATAATTCTGATTCTGCTGGTTTTGTTTGGTTTTAACTTGAAATTTGCAAAGAAGACATGAAGGTCATTTTTTATTCTGCATCATGAACTGCATAACATTACTGATAGTCTGTGTGTTCAGACTTGCAATGAAGAAATACTCTGCAGCTAGTAGAGGCGTGTGAGGATAATGTGCACAGTAACTTAAGAATTCACATATATCTGTTATGATGAAATCTGTAGGGAACAGATAGAGTTGTTTTGCTGGTGCTTTCTGGTGTCCCTGTCTTCGTCTTACTTGATACTTTCAGAAGTTTCAAGAAGGATAATGCTGATCTGTTTTCAATAAATTGTGGAGATGTGAAATAATATGCTTTGGGCTCTGTTGGCCGGGGACTTTGGACGCAGATGACAACTGGCATTTTTTGTTGTTTTAAAAACTTTTCCCAAAATATAAATGTAGCTAATGGCATACCTATGAGAGAAAGCTTGCAGATTGGCATTTTTCCCTCAAATGATGGCATAAAAAATGTTGTGTCTTGAACATAGAGTTGATGAGTTAGTCTGTATCAAATGCTGAAACCTGAGTATAATCTGAAGCTATTCAAACCCAGTCTTTGCAGTAGAACCGTACTGTGGAAGCTGTTTGTGACTGTCCAGTGCCTTCCTATAAAGCAGTTCAGTTCCTCAACTGGAAGTTTTTTGTCAATTTAGTTGAAGGAAGAATTAGATTTGGCTGGCTCTAATGTGGAAGCAAGAGGAGGATGTGAATCTTGAAGAGAATTTTAAAATTCTTTTCAAGGCAGATATTGTGAAGTTATCTTGTTCCTCTTTTCAGGAATGTCACCAGAGATGGCTGCTGACACTGCATTAGAGTACATGAAGACTCGAGTCGGGGGCTTGGGAGGTGTCATCGTTGTTAGCAGTTCTGGAGAGTGGGCAGCAAGGTTCTCCACCAAGCAGATGTCCTGGGCTACTGTAAAGGATGACAAACTACATTATGGGATTTACACTGGGGAGAGGCATACAAAGTCTCTTGATGAAGCACTTGCATCTGAAAGTGAGGGATTCTGAGACTGAAGAACCATTGACTATGGTCAAATGAAGATCTCCATTCTTTTTTGGAGGACAGTAACAACTGATTTAATTTTTCTCGAGAGATCTGTACTTTATTGATTGATTCACAGACATTGCTATGCTTTGACCCAAAATGAAATCCGACATCATGATCATGGATATATGTATAGTGCTTACTGGTGCCTTCGGACACTCAGATCTTCCAGGAGAATGTACAGTTTGAGGGCTGTAGGTTTATGTGTTTGCATTCTTTAATCCTACATTAAAGGGAGCCTAAATTTCCAGAATAGATAAGCTCTTTGTCATGCCTGTTCTCAGATGCTGCTTCCAGGATGATTAAAGAGATACATTTTTACTATCTGAAAACTGAATTCTGAAAATCACATAGAATCATAGAATCATAGAATCACCAAGGTTGGAAAAGACCTAAAAGATCACCCAGTCCAACCGTTCACCTATTCCCAATAGCTCCTACTAAACCATGTCCCTCAACACAACATCCAGCCTTTCCTTGAACACCCCCAGGGTCGGTGATTCCACCACCTCCCTGGGCAGTCCATTCCAGTGCCTGACCACCCTTTCTGAAAAGTAATACTTCCTCATGTCCAGCCTGAATCTCCCCTGCCGTAGCTTGAAACCATTCCCCCTGGTCCTATCACTAATGACACGAGAGAAGAGGCCGACCCCCAGCTCACTACAACCTCCTTTCAGGAAGTTATAGAGAGCAATAAGGTCTCCCCTGAGCCTCCTTTTCTCCAGGCTGAACATTCCCAGCTCCTTCAGCCTCTCCTCATATGGCCTGTGTTCCAGACCCCTCACCAGCTTTGTTGCCCTTCTTTGAACACGTTCCAAGGCCTCAATATCTTTCTTGCAGCGAGGGGCCCAAAACTGGACACAGTACTCGAGGTGCGGCCTCACGAGTGCTGAATATAGGGGAGCAATCACCTCTCTGCTCCTGCTTGCAACACTGTTTCTGATGCAAGCCAGGATGCCATTGGCCTTCTTGGCCACCTGGGCACACTGTCGGCTCATGTTCAACCGAGCATCAATCAATACCCCCAGGTCCATTTCCTCTACGCAGTCCTCCAGCCACACCGCCCCAAGCCTGTAGCGTCGCCTGGGGTTGTTGTGGCCGAAGTGCAGGACCCGGCATTTGGCCTTGTTGAAACTCATCCCATTGGCTCCAGCCCAGCTCTCCAATGTATCTTGAGCAGTCATACCTCGATAGCACAGTTCTTACTGTCAGTGAAAAATCATTAAACAATAGTAAAAAGTTAAGACTAATTTATCATCATGGGCAATAGGGTGTATTGTATGCTGTTTTCTGACTTAACTAGATTTTTTTTTTAAACTGTGTTATAATTTAATGGATTTTAGCAGATGCTATGATATGGGTTTCCTTTGGGGCCAGGTATGTATGTATTGCATGCCATCATACAGTGGAATGTTCTTATAACCCAAATAAACATAGCAAAAACATCTTAAATTAGATTTTAAAACTACTTCCACAAGTATCCTAACTGCAGTAGGCTGTGTTATTGAGTTGGCTTATGTAGAACAGTAAGTTTGCCAAGACTGTGTAACTCGCCTTCTACTTTAATCTGTGTTTTATTGGATGTTGCATATGAGTGAATGTAGACATCGATGGCTCAAGCATAGACAGCTTGTGCAAAACAACCATGGATTTCTTGCATACCTTGCTCCTCAGGAGGTAATGTAGAAGATGGCTACTCTTGTTAACTGTTTGTGAAACAACAGCAGTATTTAAGATGTGCTCATAGTCAGAGGAGAATAGCCATCTCAGTAAAACTTTGTTCCTGCTTTTATGTATGAGGTACCGATCTACAGGGCCAAGCTGTTCTCTGGAGCAAAGCTGTATTGTCTTCACTGCCAGAATATCAAAACAATCCAGATTTTGTGGTCAGGATTCTACTTTGGTTAACTCACCTGTCCCTATTGCAAGATCAAATTTAGAACAGGTAGAAAATACAATCTCTCAGTGTTCTGCCAAATATCTCTTTGCAACAATATTGTTTTGATGAAAATAGTGACTTTTTAGTGGAAAAAAAGCAACTTGGATGTTTCTAGCATGGATGATGTTATGAATAGTACAGAAATCTTGTCTTATATTTGCTTTTGATCAGATTTAAGACCGATTTAAGAGACATATTTAAGAATGTGTTCCCAGTCACCCTTTCTTTACTTGCTGTGGCTGGGTCGATGAGCACTTCGCTCACTAGTGCAATAGGTGGGCAGCCAGCTCTGTTCTTATTGTGCACTCTTGAGTGGATGCAGGCCTGTTCTGGTCAGACTCCAAGTTGACCAAAACCCAAGTGATTGTTGGCATAGGAGCAGGTATAAGCTTGTATACCTGTGGAATGGTTTGTTGATGAGGGTTTGGCAGTATGCTAACCTGGGCAGTTGGCTTTAGGTTTGCTTTGAACAAGCTCATATCTGCCCAGAAGCTACCATCAGCCACAGGAGTAGTACAGATACTATCTCAGGGCTGTCTGAGAGAACAGCAAATGGTTACTGTGGTTAATTTGCCTCAGCTGTTCTCTGAATATAATGTAATAAATAGCTGGCACTTAACAAAGAACATTATTCTCTATACGTTCTTCTGTCACTCATCACCAGGCTAGCTGGGCACCTTCCAGCAGTGCATTAAGCAGTGTGACTGCCATCTGGGCTGTATGATCTGTTCTCTTACCAGTTCCTTGGTAGTATGCTCCGTATTCCTTTGTGAAAAAGCATCTGCTTTTCAAAAAGATGTGTGTCCTCTTGCCTTTCAGCTGTTAGGCATAGTTAGGAATGAGGAGGCCTTGTGAATCGCCTGGAGACATTTGCTCACCCCTAGGCTGTATCCAGCTTGCTCCATGAGCTCTGGTGAGGGCTGCGGGCTTCCCTGCCAGTTGACTGCCTCAACCAAAGCCCAGCAGAAATGTACGTGATTTCCACATGTAATCTGCCCAGCACACAGCACTCCCCTTCCTCTTGAAAAGGTGGGGTGATAGCAAATGATTAGGGATTGGGTAGACCTAATTTCTGAAGAAACTGGGGAGCCGGGGATGGAACAGGTGTTTTCCTTCTTTTCCTCTTTACGCTTTCAGTCACATTCTTTAGCTGGAACAACACAGACTTAACTGCTGCTGATGTGAGAAGTTGCTTATACTGCACAAGGCTATCCAGTTTTTGAATATGAAAGTCTCACCTCACCTCTGCAAATATTGTGATATTCCCCATCATAAGGGCTTTTACAGTTTTTATAATTGCAGTTACAGTCAATATGTAGTTGAAAGGCACTGAACTTTGGGGTAAAGCTTCCGCTAGGACAGAGAGCTGTGTGCCATTGTTGTGCCCTGCTGCTGGAAATGAGCCTCTAATTCAAATGGCTGTGACCTGGATATCAAAGAAGGAAAATTAGAGGCTGTTGCCAAGAAACTGAGTGTCCTTGGCATGTAGCAAAGCAGCAACAGAGTTTTAATTATTTCATTAAAGTGTGGTGTCCTGTTATTTTATATCGCCCATAAAGCCAGTTTCACGTGTTGTTCTTTTTCCTCCTTCCTGCTGTGCATACAGCTCCTGGCCCAAGCAGGGAGCTGTGATGGGTGTGCATACCACAGTGAAGGTGTTGGCTAAAGCAACCCAGCAGTGAGCACTGACTTTACTCATATGTTGTTAGCTCTGTGCAGGCCTTCCTCTTTAGTCTTTGCTAGTTATAAGTAATTACAAATGTTCTATGGGATCTGTAGCACATTGCTGCTTGGAAATTTTTGTTTTTTTTCAGGGTGCTACTTTGTTGTATGTTTTAATTCTGTCTCAGGTGGCTTTCACTGACTTTGAAACCTATCTTAGCAAAGTTTAGTGGCACTCTCTGTTTTTCTTGCTTCTCTTCTGGTATGGTTCTTTTTTGATAAGCTTTGAGAAATACCTGCTATAGGACAGATTTCAATCTTGGTTACATCAGTCTGAATTAAAGCATCAATACTGAGGTCTGCGACGGTACTGGAGGAAGTGAAAGCAGACATGGGCTGGCCTGACCACAGCCAGCATCTCTGTGAGTACTCTGCCTTCTCTAAGGAGAGGGAAGTACATGGGACAGAGTGTGGTGCGGGTAGTAACTGGGGAATGACAGAGCTCTGGTTTCAGGCACCATCCAAGTGAGAAAGATGCCCAGGGAAACTGTTAAATATGTGCACTGGGAAATAAGTAGGTGTCAAGTGAGTCACATGAAGGAATCTAAGATCGTGCAGATAAGGGTGAGCAAAAGCTCATTTTGTTTTAGACACATAAACTAAGATTGAGGGGAATCTCCTTTTTCCACTGTGCTCCTTGCTCACAGGGGGTGCATCCGTACCCCGCAGCTTTTGTGCAAAGGAGCTTTGCTGGACCAGGTCACGTGGGTTTTATTTGGAGATATTTTTAACATTCTTGCCTTTTGGCCTTTGAAATTCTCCTTAGCAGTGCGATCCTGATTTTCTTGCAGTTCCTCCTCTAAGTGCTTTTCTGCTGAGGACATTATCAGCTACTGTGCAGTCAGTGTAGGCTTTAGCTCTCAAGCTTTGCACTTTTGACCCTTCCCTGCCAGTGCTTTCTTCCAGTGTAAACTATGTAAATGTACGTAAGCTATGTAAATGCACAGCAGCATGCAGCTCATTGAGGGCTCATATGCTCCCAGCCTGATGGCCCAGCCCTGTCCTGCCTCCCTGGCATAGCAGCCCCTGTGCTTAGCAACCCAGCATCAGCCAGGAGCACTCCCTTCCTTCCTTGCTGGCTCCCCATGGACCACAGCAGGGATTTGATGATTTTTCTGATGATTTGCAAAGCCTTGTATAGGTTCGGGTCGCCAGCCAACCAGCCGGCAATAACAATTGGTACTGCAACAGAACCGTGAGGCTGGCTGATGGTGGGGATGCCAGAGCCACAAGAGATGCTGGCTGGACTAATTCCTACAAGTAGTGATGAGTGCAAAACTATATGCAGCACAAAATGTAGACCTTATGGTTTTAGCACTTGCTTTTTCTCAGCAATTTCAAAATATTTACTCATAAGCAGTTTCTGGAATAATTAAGAAGCTGCTGCTCCTCTGAGCAGAAGAGTGCAGTTCCTGGGTCATGAGTACTCTCACGTCCTCTGTGCCTGGAACTCATTTATTTCATGGAACTTCTCGGCGTTCCTGCATTACAGGAGATAACTGGTTCTGTTTAAAAGCAAGCAAACTAACTAAAAACTGTTCTGTGGCTTTACCTGGGGGTTTTTGCCTCTTGTGTCTCACCTCAGGTG